AAATATCCACTGTCACACTGGCCGAATGACTCATAGACAGTAATGCATATATATAAGAAAGCTTGAACGCGGAGGGTGCGACCCTGCAATGGCAATCCCGAAATACACTAGAGACATCTGCATCTGTGGCGTTGAGTAACTCGATCCTGTGAAGTTAGGGCTGCCACGAATTGAAAAATAATATTAAAGTTATATAAATGTTTTGTAAACATTATTTGATATTTTCAAGTAGATTCTCATGTAGGGACGCCACAAATCGATCTTGAAATCCGCACCGGCACAAATCGTTTACACATTTCATAAATATGTATATGTGATAGTTACATCTCTCGGATTGCAGAGTTTTAGGGTTCCGTACCCAAAGGGCACTACTGGATCCTATTAAAAAGACTCCGCTGTCTGTCTGTCTGTCTGCCTGTCTTTCACCAGGCTGTATCTCATGAACTATAAATAAAACACTTTAAGTGGGGTTCCGATAAAATATATGTGATTTTTTGCTGTCTTTATAGATAATGGGTACGGAACCCTTCGTGCGCGATTCCGATTCGCACTTGGCCGATTTTATTTTATGTACCTGGATGAGTCTGCCCATTTGAACACCAGTGTAAGCTGTTGCGTGGCTCTGCCGAAGTAGTTTATACTTGACTTGTTCATACAGAACATTTTCATAAACAAAAAGGACGAATACAAGTGGTAAGCATTATTAACTTTGCCCTTAAGAGGTCACTGTTTTATCGGAGGATTAAACCTTCTTCGTCAGAGCTATACCAGTGGAAGATGATACACGTGTTCGTTTTGCCTAAGCGGCGAGACGTTCCTTTTTCGAATTATTACGTCAACACAATTCCAGCAACGCCAGAAATGCCATTCAATAAAGTCAGTTTGACGTTTAATACATGCTTGTATTAATTTCCTTTGTGGTCAGCGCGTATGTATAATGGATTTATTTTAATTGTGACTATAAAGGGTTAGGTATGGCCGGTCATAAATAACAATGTCAGTAGCGGTGGAACAAAGAGTGGAAAGGTTTTTTATGAATGGGCGCGGGCTTTGAAGGCTGTTATACGTTTATGTGGCTGGTGTAGCACCGGGTGGGAAGTTTGTGAGGTCGTCGGTTCAAATCCCAGTTACGTTTGGAACTGAATTTACTCAGCGGGTGTATTGCATTGAAAATAACTGCGTCCGATAAAGCGTTAATAGTGTATGGATGGAAAGTGTAAATAGTAGACATATATAACAAAGTTCGATCATTTATTTACGACTCCTCTTCGAGAAAATTTTACACCAAAACTACTATAACTTTTTTCGATATTTTTTTAATTAAATATTAAGTACTAAAATAACAGCAACTGATTCTGGTCATAAGTTAGCTGATTAGAGATTATAAAAGTTACAAATATACTATCAAAATAAATTTATGATTTGAAGGAAAATCTCCCGAATGCTGCATAAACAATCGCAATTTTCGAAGGAAACATTCATTTAAACGTCCCAATAACTTCGAAACGAAAGGAATAAGCAAATAAAATAAATAAATAAAATCAATTCCCCTCTGTTTCGACATCCATGCAGCGTTAACTGCCAGACTTTGACCATAAGCGCATCGTCAAAATAAATCGGGTACAGTCGCGTGCACCGACACGGGCGATAAACGCTTTTAAATCTTATCACGTCGCCGTAAGAGCCAAAATTTTCCCAGTGTCCAATTGTACACATGCACTTTTACGGGGATTTTATTACCGCGTCCTGTTTAAAGCGTCGCGTGCGTTAATGTTACGCCATCGCTGCATTTTTTTAGACGAAACAACGCAATAGGATCGTAAATCTTGTGTAACTGTACTGATACTAAAGACCATACACCCCGGTGGTACATGCGCCTTTATATTCTTGTAGGATCATAGGCGGCTGAGCCGGATGAGCCTGCCCATTCGTACAACAGCTGATCCTGCTGTGTGGCTGTACCACCGAACAAGCATTTTTCATAGCAACAAGAACAATTTTTATATAGCAATGCAAAATACGATATTTATAATTGTTTGGTGGCTGGATATAACAATAGTTGAGAAATACAATGTAGGCAAAGCGCGTTGAGATTTTCGTTGGCGTGGCAATCAGTCCTTTAGCATAGTGGTTAAAGTGTGGGGTGAGAATACGAAAGACGTGGGTTCTATTCCCGCATCTAAATTCTAATGACACAACACCTTTCTGTAATCTTCGACTGGCATTTTGCACAAATCGACTATAAAATGTACTGTGTGTAATGGCAGATGACATAGCAATAATATATGAGTAGAATTAAAGGATTTGGTCGAACAGAAAAAGCCATAAAGTAAATAATAATAAATATTTCGGGACGTATTTTAACACAACACTACTCGTATCTACATTATCAGCCCCATACCAAACAAACTTGTACTATTATTACTTGTATTAGGTAACTGATAAACACACATAAATGTACTTTACTTTGATAAATAAATACATAATATAGATATTTAAACACCCACACACGAGAAAACACATGTTCATCATACAATATTTTTGGAGTAGTGGGATCGAACCCACACCCCGTGGTGCAAGAGACAGGTTCATTAACCACTACGCCTTCTCTTTAAAAACACAAAAGATTGTAATCTCACGGGTTTCCGCGCCAATTCGGTTCTGACCACACTACCCTGCGATTACATTATGGAAAGTTGACCAGTCACAGCCAGCAAGCTCATCTCGCGGCACCTTTGCGGCGATCCTACAAAGCGTGGTACATCTTAAATTGCAGAACACGCGAAGCTCCATCCGGTTGAATGCTAATCGAGGACGGATAAGCGAACAGTCTCTTATATAATAATGTTCCGTATGATAATGCTGTTGCAGATGAAATTAGCGACAAGCCGATTGCGAGATCATGTCACGTCTAAACGTGACTGTATAGTTGCACGCATTCGATCGCGGTGTGTTTTAAATCTGATGCAGGATCTCCGAACTGACTTTGCAATTCGACGGTTTTATAGTCCTAAATCCAATCTAAGCTGTTTGTGGTTGGTTGTTGTTCCATACTGGGCATAAATTTTGTTTTGGATTTAAAAATAGTTGTTTTCATTTGTTGCTCATGGCTGAAGTGGCCAGAAAGTGAGTGAGGTAGCCGGAGCCCAATTTCCTAAAAGGTTGTCAACGCATCTGCAAACTGTAGTGTAGCAGATGTCCATATGCGGCGGTATTCACTTAACATCAGGTGAACCGTCTGCTCGTTTGGCAACTTTTCACATAAAAAAAAATGCTTAGTGTCTTTTGCTTTTCTTTGTTCTGACTGTGAAGGGTTAGCCGATTTATTGATTAGTCGTAAAAAAAGTAAAAAAGTAACAACCTATACAAGTCCCACTGCTGGGCAAAGGCCTCCTCTATAAAGAGGGTATCAGAGCATAGTCCACCACGCGGCCCCAAAGAAATATTTTTTTGTTATTATTTTGAAAATATGCAGGGTTCCTCACGATGTTTTCGTTCACCGCGGAGCACGTGACAAGTCAGCACTTAAAGTTAAAAACTTCATTGGTGCCGGCACCGGGGATCGAACTCAGGTTGCTCAAGTATATTGAATTAAAGGCGCGCGCCCGGACACTACGGTTCTTTAGTCGTTAGTTTCATTTATTTAAAACTACATGTCTGGTATAGTGGATGTCTATTGGTAACGATAATTTCTTACCATTAAAAGTTCTGTTTCATCATCATTGTCATAATCAGCCAGACGTCATCCTCTGTTTAACAAATGCCCCTTAGAATGTCACAATGATCGAAACTTTACTTGCTTGTCAGAAATAGTCGATGCTTGATTCTGCGTATCTGACTCTAGGCAGTTGATAAGGTTCCTCGCGGGTTAGAAGGTGGCAAACAAGCTGTCGGTTCAACTGATGTTAAATGATAACCGCCGCCCATGGTCAATTGCAACACCCGTAGGGTTGTAGATGCTTTGCCACCATTTACAATGTGGGCCCCGGCTACCTCCTTCACCAGACGAAACGCAAAAGTATAACACTTCCACTTCACGTCGGTCTTCTATTAGGTCGTGGTATTAACCCAATTTGTGCAACAGAGAAGACTGTTGCGTCACCCTAAAACAGTAAAAAGTTTTAATTCCGATGCTGGTAAATAAGCCTGGTATATTAAGCTATTACCGTTATCGACGGCTAATTGTGTGGCGTGCGGTCGGCGCATAAGCTGCGAGCGCGCATCGGGCGCCGTCTGCGATAGCAAGGACTTGCGGTTGCTCCTAATTCGTGTATGCGCCCTTAGTGGTTATATCTCTGCGGTGCATTGACAGCGTTATGACCCTGTGCCGCTGCTGTGCGTATGTCGATGGGTTTTTGGTCTAGCCCACCAGGCAGGTTTTGTGGAATCTCGCCTTTCAAATCTTTGAACTAATAATGCTAAAATACTTTTCCATTATTTTCTTGTAACATTTATTAGTGCTGCCAACTGTTGAAGAGTGCTGTTTTGAGATATACAGTGATTTATAAGGTAACGTCTTTGCTGAGATCAAGTACAAGGGGAATACACGCCTGTCTCACAGACGCTTCCAGTCTGACGCCCGGTTTCTGAAACATTGATAATCGTAGAAATTAACTAATCAGTTGTCAAATTCTTTTTCAAATGTCATTTGAGTTGTCAAAAGGTTGGTTAAACTCGCTGAATTTATCAGAATGATCTTCTTAATGATCAGAATGAGCAATTCAAAGAGTTTAACCATCTTTTTGGCAACTCAAATGACATTTGATAACTGATTAGTTAATTATCTCATTTGATAACTGATTAGTTAATGATCAGTGTTTCAAAAACCGGGCTTGAGTGTTCCTTCCCGCACGCAATGAGCAGTGTGCAATAAATCCGTCAATACGCAACGGCACTCCATTGAAATTAATAGCTCTATCTTGTTACATTTTCCCTAAGCATATTGACACGTTGACACGGTGGGAGCGCATCGCAGGTCGGTTATCGTAACAGTATCGTTAGACATCAACACCGAGGGCGCGGGTCACGTCGCCGCAATTGAAACGTATGAGTGCCCCTCCCCTCCTCCTACGCTCTGTCCCCTCTCCCTCCTCGTATAACCCCCCTTCCTTCCTCACCCCTCCATCTGCGAGTTCGCCCATATCACCGGTGTTATATTTGTGGCTGTTACGCAACGAAATTAGGTATCTAATTGTTACGTTGCAGTTGGATCTTGTGTGCATCTTCTGGAATTTTCTGTAGAGCGCGTTTTTAATGGCAATTGCCTCAGTAGTAGCAGTAGTAGTATTTAATGTCTCGCATCACAGAGACAGTTCACATCACGCGGTGTGGATGTTGTCCGTTTAGCTTAGTTCGATCCTAGCAGCGGCTAAAAATTTTTGAAACAATTTTATCTACACATTTTTAAGTTTCATCTCAAGTGTAGAGACTAGTACTAAATATAAAAAAAGATATGAATTGTCAACGGCCAAGAGGTATTAAAATTTGTCTAAATGAAGTACTCGCCAATGACGAAGACGAATCAAACAAATGGACGAAAATATTTTCGTCCATTTGGGACAAAAATATTTGAGAGAATGGAACACACGTCTTCTGGCAATCCGCCCAGATGTTTTAACCACTGAGGTATACGGCTGATTGGCACGTTACGATCTCTACATATTATACTATATTTTTTTTTTCGTATTTTAATCAATCCTTGGCGCATCTATTTTATATCCTTGTCAGCCCACAAACAACTTCAAATAACGTTTGACAAGGATAATTCAACGAGACATGTCGTCTTAGCTATTAAAATTTTTATATTAAGTTTTTATAGTGGTAATGTTTAAACTTAAGGATGTCTTAAGTGCAGAGATTAGCATTATAATAAGTTAATATGAATTTTAAGCCCACAGCTAGTCATTAAAAGTGCTTAGCTAAAAATCTTTGCTGCATAAGGTTCATTCTAAGCCATATCTATATTACTCTAAGCATGACGTCATGCACTTTGAATTGATAGGTACAGACCCGAGTGCACGCGTTCTCGTATCGCAGGCGCCATATATCCTCATTGGCGGGTTGCAAACGTGCACTCAATTGTTGGAAACGCAATACCACAGCGATAGCCTCCACGGGGCACGATCTTATATTGCCCTTAATTGCTGAAAGCGATCAATCGTCGCTCCAATGGGTGACAGTCAACGTAATACTCATTGATATTTACCTAAAACCACTTTCGGTTCGCGAAGGTCTGTAAGAAGAACCGTAGTCTTAGGCCGGGTTAGTGGTGTACGCGTGTGTTTCTGCATCTGATTCAGAACTCTGATTTCAACAAAATCAAGAGGTGTTGTGATTTGCGTGATAACTTTTCGTCGGGACCGAATGTTTCGTTCAATTTATGTTGTATTGCCTTGGAAGACTTTATAATATACATTGCGAATTGGTATATAAATTGCGAAAGAACAAGCAGCTTACCTGATGTTGCGGGATGAGTGCCGTCCGGGGACATGAATATCTGGAATATTCTGGGCATTAACAATGCCTTCATGGAAACTCACGCTTGAGTGTGCGTTGCTTATTCGAAAGGCTGCTTCACTCACCAGGAGTTTATATAATATAATATGTTATATATGTTTTACGTGGCTTTTTTCTGCGAGGCTTGAAGACTTCGTTTCTTGAGTCAGTCCATTAATGCAGCGGTAGTTTGGCGGCTTAACCGCAGTGGATAAATCCGTGCAAGACAATTGCGATTCTGACACGGATTTTTTATGTACTAAGCCCCTAAAATCTAAAGAGCTAAAAGAAGAACTACACCTTATTTACACACACACACACATATATGGACACACACACACAGTTTATTATTTTAGAACTTTTTACATATGATCTCATTTGAAATAGAATATGGCAGTGAAATTTTGAATTACATGTAAAAATGTGAAGGGCACTGACTTCTGAAACACAGGGTAACCTAGCACAGAGTCAGAGTTAAAAATATCGTACCTTACCTCTTCCAATTTTATAAATGTGATTACAATAAGTGTTTTCTCTTTTTGTATTAGTTGCATGAATAAATTATTATTATTATTTGAGTAGCCGATAGTGCAGGGGTTATTAAATTTACACACTTAAGTAACCGCCTATATATGTCCCACTGCTGGGCAAAGGCCTCGTTTGTACATAGGGTATTAGGGCAGAGTCCACCACGCGACCCCACTGCGGATAGGCGTACTTCACACAAAAGAAAATGTTTTACTTCACCGCTGAGCACGTGATTAGTGAACACTTAAAAATAACAATATCACTGGTGCCGGTACAGAGATTTGAACTCATGATGCTCGAGTAAAGTAAAAAAAAAGTAAAGTAACAGCCTATACATGTCCCACTGCTGGGCAAAGGCCTCCTCTACACAGAGGGTATTAGGGCATAGTCCACCACGCGGTCCCACTGCGGATTGGCGTACTTCACATATCTTCGAAATTTTTTTAATATTATTTCGAAAATATGCAGGTTTCCTCACGATGTTTTCCTTCACCGCCGAGCACGTGATAAGTCAGCACTTAAAGTTAAAAACTTCATTGGTGCAGGCATCGGGGATCGAACTCAGGTTGCTAGAGTATATTGAATTAAAACCGAGCGCCCGGACACTGAACTATCACGGCTCTATTTATCTTTTTTATTTCATTATTAAATCTGCAAAGTAAAAAATCAACGTCGGCGCTCCGAAACGGTTTCAACTACGGCCATTAATTACGTCGTAAAGTTTTAAAGCGATTTTATACGCCATCGGTTTAATCGGTACCCCAAAAAACTACAGCCCACACTTCTGTTTTTACGCGGACCGCGGACCGCCCACGTTCCTGCCTGTTGTTTGGTGATTAGTGTAGTTTTTTTTACAAACGAACGGATATAAAGAACAAACAGCTCACGATCGTTGCTGTTGGGTATAGGTAGAGATATCCAAGTGTCCGCCCCACTAGAACCAGTACTGTTAAATTTCTAAACTAGACGGTTTGTCAAGTGTATGTTATCAATGATATAGTTCTACAAACTCTAATTCTGTAAGTTTGTCTGTTATGTTATTTGGAAATCTGTCGAAATCATTTGCATAAGTAATCAGATCTTACTTATACCCATCAGAAATCTAACCAAACCCGTAATGATTGACCAGATAAAGGACTTCAATATCAGTTCGGACTGCATACTTAGGGTTCTGAACTTAAAGGGTAAAGCGGAGGAGTTCAATTACAAAACACCGTGACACGAGAATTTTATACATTAGATGAGACGGAACCCTTTCGTGCGCGAGTCATGTTTTATCGTTGTGCTACGCACACTAAAACAAGATGTCGTCTGTGTTATCATTCGGATATTCGGCTAAAAAACAAACTCGATGTAAGGTGAATCTTGAAATTTGTTCGGTTTTTAAAGAGACTGTTTAGTATAGAGATTGTTTTGTAGGACATATTCTCTTTGCATTTATTTCCTGTGAGCCTATCGCGACCCAGTCTCATGTTCGAAATAAATTATTTCTCAGACATGATATTCACCTTGCGCTATTTTTCTTTCATCGAGCACTTAACGTAGTTGAAGTGAAAAGAAAGTCTACTCTATTCATACTCACTCTTATAGTTGTCATGTGACGATGCTCATGATAATGACACCGGTGATTTTTGAGCAGCTTAGCCAACAAAAAATTTATCAATCATCAATTTTTGAGCTGTGCAGAATAAGTCGAAACAATCGCGTCTTTTTATGTTACCTCTTTTATAGTCTAAATATTGCGTGGGCCGCAGAGGTTGTTATACTGGTCGGAGAGCAGAATGTACCTATGTTTTGTAGAGATTAAGATAATCTTATATCGCGATGTTTAATTACGTTCTTACAAGATAGACGTCTTGTTTGCAATTTTTAAAGATTTTACAATGAAGTCTTCTTTGGGCTGATTTATTACAATTGTTTGAGTTGTTCTTGATATTTGATTTAAAGTAAAATTATGCCTTTGTTAATGTCAATCCTATAATAGCATTGTTTGAAATTTATTTCTGTGAATATATTATTTATAATTTATTATGAGTTATTATTTCATAATTTATTATTTTTTAGACATGAGAAAAGATGGTAAACGGGTAGGTGAACAACCTGTTGTTAAGTGACTACAGCATGGTGGATGTCACTGGTGTATAGGTAGTAGATGCTATAGCCGTGCAGTTAAGTTGTAAACCATAAAGAGGTTGATCACAGGTTAACTGACTAACGGAACTAAATAATTACTTTTTATAAAGGTAATCATAAAGTAATTATATATAATAATTACTTTATGATTGCTGACCTTTTGTGGAGCCACAATACTTTCTTAGATATTAATGCAACAGCAAAATCTGCTGTGCGATTCTACATCAGTAAGGTTTTTATTAAAACTGAAACACTTTGACTATAAATATAAAAATCCATGTATTTGTATTTCGAGGGCAAGGAAGTCTAAAACTGACTCGGCAATATACGTTTGAAATGTTACAATCTACACACAATACGCTTCACGTAAGTTTTAGTTTATTATAAAAAAATGTCCTCAAGACTGGTACGTTCAGTGCGCTTTATAGTAACGATAACACGCAAAAATAAAAAAATAAAAATTCTCATTCGATCGGTGCAGTTTTAAATATTTCCATATGAGGAAAACTGAAAAAGCATGCAAAAGTAACACGACATTGTTTTGCACTGCTATTTGCTCTTTAGTACGAAGTCCGCCTCAGACAAAGTTCCAGCATGATCTCGTACATATTAATGATAAACTTTTATTGCCAGAACAAGAAATTAAATATTTATAAATTCTAAAGACCATTCTCGGTTAAGTGATTAATTACAATAACAAATCTGTTATGTAAATGCCTCCATTAGTATGCGAGGCGCAGAGTTAGGGGAGCATTTGCTGATCGCTTGTAAAGTGTAATTGCTCTTACACTTTTTTACTCAGAATTGCGTAACAGGTTGTAAATATATGGATCAATATTCGTGCGTTTCAATAAATTCGAGAACTTCGTCCGAAGGCTACATTTATGAGTGACAGGGAGATCATACAATGTAGAATTTCCGGAAAGAATGACATTGCATACAGATGAAACATGAATGTACTATTACAACATATTACAGTCTATTCATCTGGCTTGTTAAGAAACAAGTGCCTTCGTTAATCGGATAATATAATTATCCATTTGCTTATGTTTGCTTATGTTTATTG